AGGGCCTTAAAGAAATCCCAAAACTTTTGGGAAGGAGCAGGGAGAATGAAGATCAAATGAAGGTCAAATCAGATCTTTCTGTAGAGATCCAATTTTCTTCAACTGAGCAACTTAAAAAAAAAGAACCAAAACAAAAGAACAAATAAATTGGCAAGGGGTGCTCAGCCAGCCTAACTCTTTCCTCCCCCCTCTCTTCAGGTACCCATTTTCCATATGGATTCAATACAGCCATAGGAAACGGCATGTATGCCTTGCAAGGAAAAAAAAAAAGCTTGTAGGCAAGCAAATTGGCAAATATCCTCAGCAGAGGCAAATCTCAATGTTTAATGATGCATATGCACCTCTAATTAAACAGCTTAAGAGTTCCCGAGTCCCTCTGAACTCCACAACTTGCTCGCGCCGGGGGAGAGAAGAGCACATCCTGTCTGCAGCCCTGCACACACACACACACACACACACACACACCTCTCTACCTCCTCATTAGCAACTGCTTCAAAACAGCCCGAGATCCTCAACTTCTCTGTTTATTCACCAGATAAGCTGCTCCAGGTCCGGTTTATATCCCGCAGGGCTTGCTTCTCCGAAATCGCTCTCTTGATCTCCTCCAGGACCAGGTTGAGCTCCTTCGAGCGCTTCAGGCTCTCCTGCTCGGCCGCGTGCAGTCGGTCCCGGAGGGCGAGAAACTCCCGCTGGTAGATGTCCACAATGTCACCTGCAGATGGAAAAGAGAGAGAAGTTTTTTCCTCCACAATCTGAAAGGTTTCAAGCCCCCAAAACGATGCCTATCACTCATACCTCTCCTACCTCCACAATCCTTAAAACATTAATTTAGGGAGCTGTGGTCCAGCACACACACCCATCGGTTGTGTTGGAGAGAGGGCAGTTTAAGATGTAGAACTACAACAGAAAAGCTACTCCCATTCTTCTCTTTAACTTGGGTTTGTGGGTCATATAGAAATACAACCTGGTTCTCTAGGACAAAAGCATGCAGCAAAAAGTAAGTTGCATGGTAGTTCTTCTTCACTACATACTCAGTACAGGTGAGTCAGCTGCTGGCATTAATTTTATGAGCAATATTCTGCAGCTCCAGAAGTTTGGGCACGTGAGACAGCAACTGTTGGAGTAAGCAGCGGGGAACCAGAGTCAAGGGAAAAAAACCTGAAAGCACTGGTGGTGATGGCCCATTAAAGCCATGAGAAACCCTAGGAATATCAATATTTTAATTGCCTTGCTCCTTGCTTTGGTTCCCTGATGGTACCTAATGGAAAGAGTTTTAAGAGCATGTGTCAAAGGTCATTCAAGTGGGTAATTCCAGAGAACTCCTAGACAGTATCTTGAAGGTCTTCTCTAGATGGTATGGGGCATCTCCTGGATGACCGTGAGTGATGGCAAGCAAGGTGTTGGGAAGGAGGCCAACGCTCTGCAGCGAGAAGAGGGCAGGCACAGCACCTCCTCCGGCTTCAAAAGGAAGTCCCAAATTCTAGTGGCCAAAAGGGATTTTGGGAATCTAACCTCTCTGAAACAAGGCAGGAAAAAGAATATCACATGGTAATAGCTGCCTGGATGCAAGTGTTTGGAGATGGATCTTAAGGATGTACTAAAAATGAAATATATATAAAAAAGTAACTTTTGATAGGGTAATAAAGCTTTTCATTTTGAAACAACATCTTATCAGCATGCCCTTTTTAAGCAATAAAACTTTCAAGAGCCTTCAGCTGGAACTAACTACACAATAGCTGGGAGGGGAATCAGTTAGCCATTAATGAACTTTACCGGGCTGGTTTTTATCCCGTTATTAATGAAACTACTCATTAAAAATATACCTTTATCTGTGGTCACTCGTGTGTTTTCAGCAAGGCCTGAAGCAATAACTCACAGGCCTACACCCAAAACAGATTTATCCACTGGATAGTAGGACCCTCAGCCCAAACATGATCAGGAGAATTAATGACCAAAAATACTGCACTGGAGCTTCCCAACACAGGGCTAAGTATAAATCAGAGTCACTGAAAAAAGATGCACTAACTGCATCAACAACTTCTATTTTGGGGTCCATAAAGAAAAAGAAAAAGGAACTCTGAAGATCAGACATACCCAGCTCCAAAGCACAGACTTTCCAAGACAACAGTGCTTCCCAGTGCGCCTCCCGTTAATACTTTTGCCTAGGAAAAGTTTCCCCCATGGGGTCTTTCCCCCCAAAAAAACCTTCTTAAAGACTCACTGCTTCAACACAAGGGACCACCACCCCTCAAGCCAATCTGCCTCCTATTAACCTTTCAGCATTCTCCTCAAAGCCACTGGCACACAGGGAGGGAGCAGAGGAAGTTACACCCATTTGATTATTCCGTCCATCTGACAATACATTATTCAGAGAAAGTCGAGGGACAGACATAAACAAGACCAGTCCTTCCTTTTTCCTGTGCGCTGCTGCTCGCTTTCCACTCCCAGCAAGAAAACATTTGAAATTTGCAGAAAAACAAGTTAACACCCAGCTCCGGGAGCTGCCGGGGGAATTCACAGGAGGATGTCAGGCTTTAAATTGACTCCACGATGAGCCAGACCTTTACCTGCTGGTACCTTTCAGACTTAACAATATACCTTTCAGCTTCCCAGTACTTTAGATTATGGGTTTTCCTATTTTTTATCTTTTACCAGCTGCATCTGTGAACACCAGCAAGGAGCAAGTCTCGCTTCCCATTTTTGCACAAAATGATGGCAGGAACTGTGCTTGTGGAAGGCTGGAAGCATTTCATTCTCAGCTTACCAGGGGGTTACTATCCCATGGGTGCTATCAAAGCCAAATCACAGCTAAAGGCTACCATTAGATCTTGTTCTGCAATACCTGGAGCAGAGTAAAGCCAAGGCTTTGCACTTAATGGCTTTTTCCAGAGCACTGCACTTCGTTTGTGTCAGATTTAGAAGGGAAATGTCACTGATTATTCAGCCACTAATGACCTGCCCGCGGAAGCCAAGAGCTGTACTTTTCATTAGGCTGCAATGGTGATGTGCAGTCAACCATTTGCTGCTTTTCTGGCTAATGGTTGGAAGTGAAATTGTATTTGTTTCCAGTGCTCTTGTCCTATGATGTCTTCGTAGGCTTTCCATTCTTTAATTAAAATTTCATGAAATTTAAAAGCTGATCGATTGTGACCGATTCTGGTGACAGCTTCAATAGTCCAAGACAAAGCCCAAGATGGGTGTACAGTTTCCCATGAATTTCCAGTAATGCTACTGGGGACTCGTCAGTCTGCAAGGACACATGGATGCAGATCTGCCCTCCTCACAAACACTCTCAGCCAGGGAGAGCTCTGAAAAGCCACAAAGGGCAGCAGGGGATAATGGGGGGGAAATTAGCTCCCATCTCCACAAGTAAGGTTGGACACAGAAGTGATTTGCTGCCAATTAGGCTGAACGAATTTTTCAGCTAGTGTCAGTTCAGCACAGACCCTTTACTTACCTTTCAAAGCAGCAGTGCTCCATATCTACATATTTATTGTATTCCCTCCCAGCACAAGATAACAGAGTTCTTAAAATATCTCCAGACTTGAGCACTGCAGGACAAAAACTCCTAGCTATAACTATATTGGCTTGGCTTACTTCTTCTTAAGAGATAACACATTGCTTCAGGCTTAAAATATACTGGTTTAATAAAGAAAGAAAGTTGGTGTTAAGTGATGGTCCGCAGGACAGACCTGGGAGATGAAAAACCTCTCGAACAGGGACTTACAGCACACATTGTGCATACCCAGTGCCCTGCAAACAGCACGTTTCACGCCTTGCCATGCCTGATATTTGCACTCCATGGTCTTTCACAAACCATCTTTAGAAACAGGCTGGCTGTGAGGCTCCACATGTGCATGGAGCAGCTTCTTACAAGCGCTAGGCACGGCTGAGCGCCGGCTGCCATCTGTCCGCCCCGGCACTCCCCGGAGCAGATCTGGAGGGGTCTGTCCCTGGAGATAGGAGCAGCCTGCGGCGGAGGGACAGCAGGAGTAGGAAGCATCCGGCTGAGCATCGCTTGCTGACCGACAGCTCCCTGCTCTACTTCCATCTCCCACCCTGGCTGTGCCCAGCTGCAGCGGCCAAGCTTCACATTTATAGCTGGGGGCTTCCAGCTGAGATCCCTGCACTGGGTTTGCTGAGCAACAAGAAGAATCACTGGTGAAGCTGCAGGCAAGGATGGCTTCAACGGGTTCCCTTCCCGGCAGCCGGGACGCAGTGGTGTGCAGGGGATGGGCACATGCTGGTGGGGCTCACGGGATGCTCCCCAGGACCCTTATGGGGGCTCTGAGGAGCTGGTCTCCTGCAGCTTCCCAAAGGTTTTCGTCCACACAAGAAAACACCCATTTAATAAAAAGTATTTCTCCGTGATGGAGAATTCTATGGCTTTGATCTTATTGAAGAGACTATTAAGCACAAACCACGTTTGGCAGCAGAGGTGATGGCTGGGACATCTGTGTCCACTCTGTTTATCCATTTTCAGTTTCTGAGTGAAAGCAAAATACCTAACCTGATCCTCAAACAGCAGACAGGTACAAAACCAGACCAGTGCCAACAAAACCCCAGCCTTGAAATCCCACATGGTCATCCATATATACATTGAGATTGAGAGAGAGATACACACACACACACATATTATACATATATGCAGTCAGGAATGTTATAATTCTGTATTCTGCATTAGTCCTTCAAGTCACAGCCCACCCTCCCAGGGAGCCTGTGGTGCATTTTAAACATGCCCATATTTCAGGACTTTTGGTTTTGTTCTCCACAGATAACCTTTCTCAGCAGAGAAGATGGATGGCCAAAGCCAGAGATTTCCCTCCAATCTTTTCAAAAGCACATGCAAAGTCTTTGCTAGCTGGATTTACCTCTCATTAAGAAGACTTTCAAGAGACTCTGTTTAAAAACTAAAAACAACCTTCAAACCTCTAAACCATTTATCTTGATAAAATCTTGGCTTCAAGAGCACAACTGCACTTTTTTTTGCTGCAAGAGTTCCCAGGGCCAAAACAGCAGAAATAAAGTGCAGTCAGTCCTCAGTTCACAACACAAATGGAGTTGGGGCAGAAAACTAAACTGCCTAGAGAAAACTTCTCTGCAATGACTACGCTCCTTTGTTTAATTTCAAGCACCCCTTTAATTAATAACCATTCCCCCTAGAAGACTTTGAAGGGCCTAGGAGGACTCCAGAGCACAAAACCAACCCCCTCCCCATGCCACAGCATCTATGTTACCCAAAAATGCAAACGGTGAAGCACAGGGAATCAAGCTGGTGAGCCATCCCCCCCCAGTTTGCCACCGTCCCCGTCCCAGCCAGGTGCCTGTGCTGCCCACGCCTGGCTTCGTCCCCAGTCACCGACAGGCGCTCTCGGAGTTAAGATGATGATTAGGGATTTTTATTTTTACATTTTGATGTTTAATGATTTATATAATGCTGGCACCACTCCACATATTACACTAGATTGCCCTGATTTAATCACAGCATTCATTAGATATTTTGCTAACAGAATTTCATCGGACCATTGAAATGGATATAAGGAGTTATGGCGCCTTATCAGTGAATTAAATTCAGCTCCTGAGATGAAAAAGGATTGTCCTGCTTTACCTGAGAACTTATTGGCTAGTGTAGCTTACAGGTGTTAGATACCTTGCACACAGGGATTGGCAGTAACTCCACAATAAACTTTTTATACCATTAAAAGCAAAAGA